ACGGTGATGGCGATGATACGCAGCATGCGCGCGCGCGCGCACACACACAAGATGAGACGATATGAGATTGGACTTTTGAGAATCGCAGCGGCCGCTCCGGTCGCCGTCGGGGATCAGCGTGAGGCTGCCGCCCCACGCCCAGGCGCGCCGTGCGACGGAAACGCGCGAGACGCGCGCGGCGCACGGGCGGGCGGCTTTGGGTGGGCGACGACGAGACGCGGCAGAGACCGTCACGCCGACGCGGGCGCGCACCGTAGGATGCGTGGGATCGTTGACCGGGCGAGCGGAAGCGGAGAGCATCCACATCCACCGTACTTGCCCACCAGAAGGGATATGGGGGGATATTGGGGATGGCGTTTCTGCCGTTGTCCGCCGGCCGGTCCCCACCAACGCGACGATGTGATGTGATCGCGAGAATATCCTTGTGGTGGTAGCGTCAGCCAGCGTGCCGTCCGGTCAGAGCGAGTACAGTAGCAAAGCTATACTCCCTCCGGAAAAAAAAAACATTTATAGGGCTGTGTTTAGATTCAAACTTCCAACTTTTTTCATAACATCAACCTGTCATACACACACCTTTTAGTCATATCGTACCAATTTCAACCCAAACTTTCAACTTTTGAAGGAGCTAAACACGGCCTAGGTTTAAATCTAAACATAACCAATTTTGCCAAATATAGATATAGTGTATATCCATATTTGAATATAAAAATAAGTGTTTTAGAACAGAGGGAGTAAGCCATAAAAACTTATTACTTTTATCCTAAAATATAAAAATCTAGGATTGGATAAGCCATTTTCCAGTACAACATATTTAGATAAGAAGTCTATCAAGATACATTATACTAAGAAACGTTTTATCCATCCAATTATAGGTTATTATCTTTTGGGACGGAGGAAGTATGTAAAAAAAAGGAAAAGAGAAGAGTCAGCTTCCATGCAAAAATTAACTCTTAACATGTTCCAATAAAGATATACTACGTATATTATATAATATGAGAAAGGGATAAGAGAAAACAATCAGAGATAACCTTATAATTTACTCTCTCCGTCCTAAAATAGTGACCCATCCAGTACAAGGTTGCTATATTTTAGGACGGATGGAGTATCAATTATATATTAGTTCTAATATAAGCTTATAGATAGCTCTTATAACGAGAGCAGTTGTCTCTATTATTAAACTTGCTCTTATAACAGGCAGAGCTCCTCCACAAATTGATTCGTGACAAACTTAACAGCGAGAACGTTTCATGTGACTAAATTTTACTACATTTATCTAAAAATATAAGAATTTTTAAGGTAAGAAATGAGTATTGAGAAGTATTACCTCCGTCCTAGAATATAAAAAGTTTTAGAGTTGGGTACGGTTATTAAGAAAGTAGGGAGAATTAAATACGAAGATGTTATGATTGGTTGAGAAGTGGAGGTAGTTAAGAAAAGTGAATTGTGGAGGGTTGTGATTGGTTAGGAAGAAAATGTTGTTGAAGAAGTTGTTATATTTTGAGACAAATGTTGAATGCTAAAAGTTGTTACTCCCTCCGTTTCATAATGTAAGTCATTCTAGTATTTTTCACATCCATATCGATGCTAATGAATCTAGATAAATATATATGTCTAGATTCATTGGCATCGATATGAATGTGGAAAATGCTAGAATGACTTACATTATGAAACGGAGGGAGTATATTTTAGGACAGATGGAATAGGTGGGACTAATAGAAAAATGTTGTGATTAGTTGGTAAGAGAAAGTAGAGGGGAAATATGAATGGCAAATGGTTGTTATTGATTAAGAAGAGAAAGTAGATAAGAAATTACTATATTTTGAAACAAATTTTAAATGCTGGAGTTGTTTATATATTGGGACAGAGTGAGTATTTGTTAGTCGTGCGTTTTTAATATGTTACTGTTCCCTCTAACCATGAATAAGCACAAAGTTTGAAATTTGTTTGACAATTCTTTATCTATTTTCTAATCTTAACCAATCACAACCTTCTTTTATTTATTTTTCTTTCTTATCGACTTCCACATTTTAATCATTGTAAGCATCCCTCATCTCAACCTAATGGTTTATCTGGATAACGGCACAAGAGGAGTGAGATTGGGGTAGAGGAATCAGGGAATGGGTTGAGGGTTACCATGAAATGAGAGAGGGATAATGGATGACTACGATTTAAACATACTCTTTGATCAGCGCAAAATCATTTCCCTAATCCATTAATAAACCTATGTGCTTCCTATGTGCTTCCCCTGTGCAATGGATTCTGTTGGCCCTTCTTCAGACGGCGACGTGCCCTACCTCCACTCCATCGAGGGTGATGCTTTCCATCATAGTCTCATCACTCCAAACGGTGCCTATATGTTGTTGAAACACGCAGAATTTTATTTAAATCTTTTTTGGGCATTTCTATCTAAACCATTTGTGCAATATCGCCATTAGATTGTGTTTAGTCCACGCCAAAATTAAAAATTTGTTTAAAATTAAAATGATGTTATGGAAAAGTTGAAAGTTTGTGTGTAAGAAAATTTTGATGTGATGAAAAAATTGGAAGTTTAAAAAAAAATTGGAACTAAACACGGTCTAGAACGCTCTTCAAGTTTTTATTCTTCAAGTTTTTAATGATGCCCGTGAGATTCTTTGTTCCCTAGACTCCAGGAGCCTCGTTGCACACATCATGCACGTGCTGGCACCAATTCGGCTTTCACTTCGTCGTCTCTGAAGGTCGACTTCTGTGTCTCTTACTGGGGTGGAAAGATGCAAATGTTCCTCCGGCGCACCATTTTCTCGACGAAGGGGAAAAAAAAAGTCCGAATGCCACAAGCAGAAGATCCGACTAACCTGACGCCATGAAAAGAGAGGCAAAATAAAGATAAGACTTTGGGATCACAGGAGCTGATCTTTCTTTTTCTTCTCAATTATGGGGGTTCCTTTCAAGCCTTGGGATAGTGAAGGGTGCAGTCCATTTGTTGTTCTCTTCAGTCTTCAGCTAGTGACAGGAACTTGGCCACCTCATGGAGGAGGTAGGAGAGCCTGTCTCCCTAAACAATACTAGTAGTAGTAGTACCTACCACTACCAATGGCGATGCTCCTTGCCATATCTCACAAGGAATTGAAAATGCTGGCCTGTTCCCTTTCCTCTAGCTTAGTTTATGGGGTTCACAGGGCAAGTAGATAAAAAAGAAGAGAAGAGGAACTTTCTGCAACTGCAAACCACATTCGGTTGAGATCAGGTGTACTTATTTAAACGGCATGGTCCTTGTTTCAAAATTATAATACTTAAAGGATAGAAAAACTATGGCAGTTTGGGGAAATGATGAGATATGCACATTTGGCAGATGCTAACATAGTTGACTGACGATTCTTATGAGGTTATATCCAATGATCATTGTGTTTGCTTGCAAAGATAGGGCAACTTGTGGCAATATCATACAAGATGTTGGGGGGGGGGGGGGGGCGCAATAATTAGGAGGTTAAAATGAACAAGCAAAGCATAAGTTTTCGTGTCATTAGTTGTTAGGTCAACTGCTTAATTGAACTATACAGATCCCTACTACCCAACTTAAGTTAATAAAACTGTATATGATTGAATAAGTCAAAGCAAGTGCCGAACTATATCAGCGTGTACATATTGGTGCCCTTTATGCACACGCGATTTTCTGCACATACAGAAAGGACGAAATCATCAAAATATATACCTCAGGAATAAAGAATAATGTGTGTTAAAAATTACCTTCGCTGATCTGAACACGATTTTTCCAATGACAAAGACCAAAACAAAAGCTAAAATGTGTTTATAACCCTTCCAGCATTCTTAGAGTAGATTATCACTACACAACATCCACAGTTGTTTAACAATTACTCCCTCCGTTTCATATTGTAAGATTTTTTGGACTTACCTAGATTCATCCATTGATTAATATATATGTTTTCTACATGTGTCTAGATTCATTAACATTTATATAAATTTGGGTAATGCTAGAAAGTCTTACATTGTGGAACGAAGGAAGTATATAAGAAACAAACATATTTCATAGTCGTAAGAGGTCATCTCTCACTATTGTCATACATACTTTGAAAGTTACAGATTAGAGGCTGATGTGATTTTTCCTGTGACAACGCTGAAATTTGCCTCAAATGGCTGTCAAATAATAAAGAAAAGCGAGGGGGGGGGGGGGCAATAACAGATTGATTTATTGACCTCTATGTTTATTTGCTCAAGGTTCATGGCATAATTATACACGACCGTGATTTTGTTATATTATACTCCTTGTGTCCCAAAATAAGCTCATTTTTCACCCATCCCACACATACCAATACAAAATCAGAAATACTATAATACCCACACTTTATAAAATACCAATGCAATTATTCATCTCCTTATCTACTCCCAATGCATTTATCCCTTTTCAAACTCCGATGCAATGATTGCTTAAAAATGAACTTATTTTGGGACAAACGGCAGGGGCAAAAAATAATCTTACGTAGACAGCTATGTTCAAAAACCAACACATTACTGTCTATACCTAAAAGTCCAAGATTTTCAAAACTTGAGAACATGGTAATTAAAGTATTAGTGGTAGTTGGATGACTGTAGAGAATTTTTTTTACTTTCACCCTGCCAGTTATAATTATGATATACTATCTATTTCAGGGATGGGGCCCTTAAGGATTCACATCAGAACACAGACTTAAGTGACTAATTTGTTACACCATCAGACCTTTTTTTATGTGAATGGAAGTAGTCATGACACAGTGCAGTTTTTATTTCATCAACTAGATGACTGTTGAGCCGATAAGAGTGAACGATGACCATTCTTGTCCTCACAGGCTCACAGCCACATGATCTGGGGCTCAAAACATTTAATGGAGTGATCCTTCTCAAACCAAATACTGGACTCATGTTAAAGGTTTTAAGGGGTTTCTATCATGTTTTTGATTGTTAGTTGAGCAACACTACTACCTAAAATAATATGCTGAGAAATTAGCTGTCATGACAGTTGATACTGAAAAGCAAAAACAACTAATACTTAGCCATTCTTGTAGCAAAACCTCATTACATATTTACAAGAAAACCCAATGGATCAAAAGAGAATCTCAAGCATCTTATGTCTATCATCTGAATATTCTGCATACATTCAGAAAGCATAATTATATTTCTTCTATACAAACAAAAATGGTAGGGAAAATCAAAGTCACATTTTATTATACACGTTGGTCTTTGGTTTTAGTTTTTGGCCAGAAATTCCTCCTTACAAGCCTAATTTCTCAACTTCCCCTAAAAAGGCCTAATTCCTCGACACAAACCATCCAATTCAATCACCTATCATTTGCATTTCATCAGCACAAGACCAAGCCACATCTGTAAACACTTGAAACGTCCTCACCAAACTTTAGCAAGAACAGAGACTGACCGTGCGGAAATCCCAGTGGCCAACGATAAGCCAAACGCAAGGACGCATTGCCCCTTCAAGCGTAGCCTTTTCCAAGGCAGTTCAAGCAGCGCTGCACCCTGAAAACATGTTTAAAAAAAAATCAACAAACATCCATAGCAGCATGGTCACAGCAGCACAGCAATTCAAAGGGGCGTGACCAAAGGTCAAGGAAATCTCCGCAAAGGACGGCCAACCTAGTCCCGTCACAGGTAGGGCAGAGGCACGGGTTGACGAACACCGGGTCGTGGAGCGGAGACCACTCGATCGTCGAGCTGCCCCTGCAGAGCCTGCACGCGTAGGTCCCCTTCCCCTCGCAGGCGCCACACGGCGCCGCGAATTTCCTCTGCGCGCAACAGCAGCGCAGCCCAGTTCAGGTCAGGGCAGCGACGGCGGCGGAGGCGGAGGCGGCAAACTGAGCGACAAGGGTTTGGGTGTGTTGTAGTGTGGTACCTGGTTGGCGTCGGAGAGGGAGCGGAGGGAGCGGACGGCGGCGGAGGACGCGGCGGAGAGGAGGAGGAAGCCGCCGCCGAGGTACGCCGCGGCGCGCCCGGCCGCCTGCAGCTGCCGCCGCGCGCGGGCGTCGCGTCCGCCGCTGCCGAACTCCATGGGCGAGCCGAGAGGGGGTCTCCGCTCGCTCGCTCGCTTCCCGGCCGCACGTCGTCGGGACGAGACGTGAGCCTTCGTTTTCCTTAGCCGATTGCGCAATCGGCCCATTTAGTTAGGCACAGTAAAGAATTCGGCCCACATGTTGAGAACTGAGGAGCCATAGTCTTCTCAATCTAATTCTCTGATTACCGATTTTATCTTGGTTTGTGTTAGCAAGTTTTTCAAGCTGCTAAACTGATGGAGGTTGCTTTAAAATATCATATAAATCTATTTTCTTAAGTTTGAAATAATTAAAACTCAATTAATTATGCTCGCATGGTTTTCGCGTTTAGCTAGAGTATGCGATAAACTACTTTGTTTTATGCTAAACTAAAAAAAGCTTAACCGAGGACAAAATTACTGTTTAGATGAGATTTTACCTTAATATCAAGTCAGAAACTGAGGGTTGTGCCCATTTGCAGGAATCAAATAAAATATCAAATTGTTCTAGAGAGAGCTTTGGTTAAGCTGAAACTTTCCATTATCCACATTGAGTATATTTCCAGATGTTTTCAAAAAAAATTTCGCAGCTCAATTCTTGCCCATACCACAGACCGGACTCTGAAACTAAGTCTGAGCAATCCCTGCAAAAGTGTCTACAGCAATGATGGCCTAAAGCACGATTAGCAGCATGGCTAATTCTCAAGCCTCAACACGTCAGGGGGCAACATGATGGTCACCGCGAAAGAACCATCTGAAAACTACTCTGTTATCATTCATATGACATACGCATATCACCTCCAGATTGAATCGAACTATTTTTCTTTTATTTTCCCTTTCAAAGGAGATCTAGTCGTACTAACAAGGTCACCTTTCCTGTCTACATCAATGAAAAAAAAAACGCTATCTTTGTACACTTTGGCTTGTCCATACCATCTTGAACTTTCATGCCCACACCTCATGACGAAGGGCGAACATTCTGTTCCTTTCATCCACATTAGCATTTGAAGCTTTCTTGGAATCCGATGGGTACATGGGACCAGAACTGATCAGGCTTCAGCTAGCCCTGATGAGTTAGTTCTTGTGGGTTGCTCGATTGATAACCGACGGCGAACATTCCGCTCCTGGAACAAAAGGAACAAAGAATTGAAGGAGATCAATGTATTGGCAAATAGCTGAACAATTATGCACTGCAACGACAGTCTAAGTATCAAGAAATCTACTGAATGAAAGCGTGGGAACAGCAAAGGATTGCAGGCAACCAAAGCTGAAGGCATCAAAGTGGAGTCACAGTCAAAGACAGTTCGTAGTGCTTCAGATCTATCATAGTGCACGGCATGATTATCTGAGACAAGGAGGAAGATAAAAGCTTCATGTGTTGACTGGGATTCAGATAAAGCAAACCATGTCTATTATATATGAAGCACCTGAGCCACGACATTTTATTAAAGGAGCATATTGAGTCATGCTCAGAACATGCTTCAGACTTCAGATCCCTCCTTTCCATCTACCATATATCTATCTGGTTAACCTCCCTCCCTCTATCTGATTAATATGGGGATTTCTAGCCTTTTAGAGCAAATATTGAAGTTTATGTAGTATCACCTTAATATTTGATAAACAATAGGTCTCAGTACAACATGCTTACATAGCAAATAATGCCTGTCAGGATTAGTGATTTAGCTCATATAGCCAACCGGATGCATGGGAAATCTAGAATCTAAGGCAGTCATATTCATTAGAAAGTAAACCAACTCGACCAACATGCACAGTACATAATCAGTTCTCTCTCTCTTTTTTTCAATGTAGCATTACCTTCTTTTTCAACATATTTATCACAAATAAGCACATATAGCAAGTAAATTTATCACAAGCCATAGTTCACTTACTCCAATTTCAGTGACAAAGAGGCACAACGAGCACTTAACAGCAGGCGCACCAAAAGGATACATCAATAATGTCGCACAGTGTCCACAATGCACCTTACCAACTTCATGAGCTGCAACAAACATAGGGGGAAAACCCATGCAAGGGTAAGAAGATGCATATATACACACATCGGTACATCAGTATTTGGTAAAAGCTATAATACATGGAAATATTAAGGACAGCCGTGCTTCAAAAGGAAAGACAAAGACGAGATAAATTTTGCGCAAATGGCATCCATATTTTGCAGAAGTGTTGCATGAAAAAGCTTTAGAGGGTGTGCATGAACAAATAGTATTATAAAGGCAAGGGCAAAATTCTCCAGTTCTCTATTGAGTGGTCCAATGTTGAAATATGTAACCAACCATACTTCTTACACATAATTTAGACAGTAGCAGAAGGCAAATTTTTGAGAAAAAGCATGTTCAGTATTCAGTAAGTATTTCCACAGAAGTAAGATACAAGATGGCTGATATCTATAGGTGTTGAAAGACAAAATAAAAATTATATGGGGCATAACAAAAGTAAAACACTGTTGGGCAAATGAGAAATAGTACGCACCTTCCAATACATAGTTCATTGTCTGGCAACAAGTACAGTGAACATAACCAGCACCTCTAAAATAAGCAAGAAGAATACGGCAGCTTCCACATACCATTTGACCTACTTCTGTACAAGTTAGCAACAGAGGTTACTTATGCTCAGAGAGAGAGAGAGAGAATTACACCGGATTACTTATATACTAGCCCCAGATTTATTTATGGGTGAAAAGCTGACTTCTTTGGTTCACAACTATGTATGAATTGATATTGAGGGATTGGATAACATCCAAAGAGAAGGTACACAGAAGCATAGTATATTCCTTTCATCTATTGCTCTAAAAAAAAGTTAGTACTATATTTCACAATTGCAATCAAACTTCATCATTTTGGCTGAAACTGTCTTAAGAGGGACCAGGTATACACAAATAGGGGATCAATGGAGATATAAGTGAGCATATTACATGCTTTTTTGAATGAATGAAAGCACATTACATGCTTGGTAAACTTTAAGGACTTAATGCTGATTCCCGCAACTAGTTCATTAAATTTATATCTGCTAGCCACAGTTTGCATGAGCATTCTTCTTTCAAAATCATATCAAAGACTGAGAATCACAAAAAACAAGCCAACTTTTTTCACAAATTATAGGAAACTTATATAGTCTAAGATGGGCATATGATTGGTACATGATTAATCAATGGAAAGAAAACTGTTCGTAGAACTCCAAACACGACCCAGTAGCATGAGCACGCAAGGCTGGCCAGGTTGTCCAGTTGTCCTTGAACATCAAGGAAGCCAAGTTAAGAGGTTAGAATAGATAAGATAGAAATGTGTTTCCTGTTAGTGGTAAGAGAATCATATTTAGGATAAGATGTTTCTTTAGCTTAGTGAGCCATGTACGTGGACGTCCTATGTACTCAAGTCAGGGTATCAATGAAATAGACCTTCCTGAGAAACTTGGTCATCTCAGAGCCTCTGCATGGTGTTTGATCCAATCTCACACTGACTCATTTTCACCTTCCAAAGACCCCCAAACTCATCACAAATACTAAGTCAACACAAACAATAGCAGTTATATAGACATGGAATTAGAGGAAGTGAGATGCAATATACTAACCTTTATTTAGGTAAGGGGAAGGTGGTGGTGGCACCAATGGCACAGAGTCCTGTAAACAAGGTGAATCATGTGCGGTAGAAGAGGGTGGATGCTGAGGCTGCAATGACTCATCCACTATACCCTCAGATTGTGGCTGCATTGCAGTTGTACTGACAAGGTCTGTAGTAGTTGCCTGCGATGCAAGTGGTAGCTGAGACATCTCCTCTGAGGCCACAGCCACAGACTTTGAGTCAGATGCATCTAGTAAGCTATCTGCAGCCTGTGATGTAGGAGAATGTGACTCTGATTCTAGTTGTGGCAGTGACCCCTCAGAAATATTCTTCAGTGGTGATGACCGAATGGGCACTGTGCCAGCTTCCATTTCCCCTGATACAAGCGGTCGCTGAGGCGATTCTTCCAATGCCACTGCAACCCTGTCAATGGCAGGAACATCAGCCAAGCCATCTGGGGTCTGAACTGGAGAAATAACAGCAGGCAGTGACAGAAGCTGAGAGGGCTCTGAATTGTCACATCCTGAATGCACCATATCTGGCAAACAGGTTGTTGTATCCTTTTCTGCAGGAGGAGGTTGCGCGAATTGCTGCGGAGATAGCCCATCTGCTCCACTTTCAGATGATGGTAGCAATGGAGGTACTGCATCCATATGTACACCCATTACCTCCACTGAGTGCAGTAGCTGAGGGGCTTCCTCTATCACAGACACAGGTTCAGTTACCGATTGATCTTGTCGCACATTTGTGGTTTGTGCCAGAGATGGAGATGGTAGCAGTAACTGTGATGACTTATAGGTTTCAAACCCTGGCGGTGCCCTATCTGGTGAACAGGGCGCTTCTTGCATTATGGGAGAAGGTGCTCTTGGCAGTGGCTTTTGCAATGACTCCACTCCACTGTCAAAAGGCAGCGGTGGTGGATGTATGGCATCCATGTCCACATCCATTGCCTCCAACTCCAATGCAGGTGGTGGCCCAGCTGCTTCTTCCACTGTTGCTGCCAAAGCATCCGCTGCGGCTGCATCTGGTACAGTTTGGGGCAGAGTGGGAAGTGGTGGCCATGATGACTTAAAATTCTCAAACCCTGGAGGTGCCATCTCCTCTTGTGAACATGGTTCAGATGATGACTTAAAATTTTCAAACCCTGGAGGTGCCATCTCCTCTGGTAAACATGGTTCAGATGATGATTTGAAATTATCGGACCCTGGAGGTGCTATCTCCTCTGCTGAACATGGTTCAGATGATGACTTAAAATTCTCGAACCCTGGAGGTGCCATCTCATTTTGCAAACATGGTTCAGATTGCACCACTGGAGAAGGGGGTCTCAATAGTGGTTGTTGCAGTAGTCCCTCAGTCCCTTCTGTTGGCAAGACTGTTGTGGGCAAGATACTGAGGACAGTGTCTGACTCCATGTTTGTCACCTCCAAAGCTGGCAATGGCCTAGACACTTCCTCAATGGGTGCTTCCACTGCCTTGGTAACCACCACATCTGGCAAGACATCAGTGGTTTCAACTGGGGGAGGAGTCGTGGGTAGCGGCAACCATGACGACTTAAAATTCTCAAATCCTGGCGGTGGCGTATTAGGTGAGCTGGGCTCAGCCTGTGTGATGGAGGCAGGTTTTTCAACATCCAGAGCTTCCGATGAAGGGACTGACTCAACCGCTTCCTCCGGCATCACCAATAAAACCTTGGGGGCAGCTGCGACTGGCAAGGAGGGCATTGATTCGCCAAGTGGTGTAGGAGGGGGCAACGGCAACCATGATACTTTACAGTTCTCAGATCCAGCAGGAGCCATCTCTGGCGAACTTGTCTCAGTGCCAATTGTGGGAGAAAATGGTCTCTGCATTGACTCTTGCTCAATGTTCATTGTGGGAGAAGATGGTCTCTGCATTGATTCTTGAAGTGACCCCTCTTCCCTACTCTCCAATACCAGAGGCACACTGACTGCTGCGGTACCAGTCTCCCCGTACATTACCTCCATGGCAAGCTTTGAACCAGGAGCTTCTTCTTGCATCCTTGCTACTACATCGATCTTGGCTGCATCTGGCTCCACACTCTCCAATACCGGAGACACACTGACTGTTGCAGCATCAACCTCCCTGTACGTTACCTCCATGGCCAACATTGAACCAGGAGCTTCTTCTTGCATCCCTGCTACTACATCAATCTGGGCTGCATCTGGCTCCCCACTCTCCAGTACTGGAGATACACTGACTGCTGAGGTATCAGTCTCCCCGTAAGTTACCAACATGGCAAGCGCTGAACCAGCAGCTTGTTCTTGCATCCCTACTACTACATCAACCTCAGCTGCATCTGGATCCCCACTGTCCAATACTGGAGACACACTGGCTGCTGTGGCATCAGTCTCCCTGTACGTTACTTCCATGGCAAGCGTTGAACCAGGAGCTTCTTCTTGCATCCCTGCTACTACATCTATCTCGGCTGCATCTGGATCCACACCCTCCAATACCGGAGACACACTAACTGCTGCCGTATCAGTCTCCCCAGACGTTACCTCTATGGCAAGCGTTGAATCAGGTGCTTCTTCTTCTTGCATCCCTGCTACTACATTTTTCTCAGCTGCATCTGGATCCCCACCATCCAATACCGGAAACGCGCTAACTGCTGCGGTATCAGTCTCTCCAGACGTTACCTCCATGGCAAGCGTTGAATCAGGAGCTTCTTCTTGTATCTCTGATACTACATCAATCTCAGTTACATCTGGCTCCACACTCTCCAATACTGGAGACACACTAACTGCTGAGGCATCAGGCTCCCCGTACGTTGCCTCCATGGCAAACCTTGAACCATGAGCTTCTTCTTGCATCTCTTCTACTGCATCGTTCTCGGCTTTATCTGGTTCCCCACTCTCCAATACAGGAGACACACTGACTGCTGCGGCATCAGTTTCCCTGTACATTACTTCCATGGAAAACTTTGAACCATGAGCTTCTTGCACACCTGATACTACATCGCCCTCGGCCACATCTGGTTCCCTACTCTCCAATACCGGAGACACGCTGACTGCTGCGGTATCATTCTCCCTGTACATAACCTCCATTGCAACCGTTGAACCAGGAGCTTCTTCTTGCATCCCTGCTATTACATCGATCTCGGCTGCATCTGTCTCCGCACTCCCCAATACCGGAGACACACTGACAGCTGAGGTATCAGTCTCCCCGTACATTACCTCCATTGCAACCGTTGAACCAGGAGCTTCCTCTGGCGACACCGCTACTACATCGACCTCGACTGAATCTGGCGATGTGTATGCGATTTCAGCCGGACTAGTGGGAGGAAGCGGCAGCTCCGCAGGCTCCGAGCTATCACACTCCGGATGAGTTGTAGGCGGTGGATGCGGCTGCTGCTGCTGAAACCCCTCCTGCCCGCTCTCCAATGGCGGCGTCGGCGGTTCAGGTGCGGTGCGCGAGCCCATGGGTTCGCGCGCACGGGACGCCATTGCCGCGGGCTCGGCGGAGGATGCATCTGGCCCGCCCTCCAATGGCGTCGGCGGCGGCGGCGGCTCGGGCGCGGCGTGCGAGCCCTCCTCGTCGCCGAAGCGATCGCGCGTAGGGGAGGACTCGGTGTAGGATGAATCCGGCGAGGCGCATAAGACCAGTGGCGGAGGAGTGGGCGGCGGCGACGCCGGCGAGTCATCCTCCGCGGTTTCGTACGAGGAGGAAGAAGGGGATGACGCCGCCGACCCGGGGTAGAACTCGGCCGCCGGCTCAGCGGGAGGACACGGCGAAGGGGAGCCGGGCTGCCCCGCCCCCGCCGCCGCGGCTTCGAGCGCAGGTGGCGCCGCCGAGGTACCCAGCTCCAGCGAGGGGAAGAACGAAGGCGGCGCCGGCGGGCCCGCCGCACCGGGGGTCCCACCGATCGGAGGTTGCGGTTCTTCCGCCCTGGGCCACCCCTCGGTGGCCTGACCTGGAGACGGCGGCGGGATCGGGGTGGCATGGTGGGGTTGGGGGGATGGCTCCGGTGGAGGAGCGTCGGTTGGTAGGGAGGGGTCTCCTTGGAGAGGAGGAGGAGAAGGGGAATGGGATGGCGGGGGTGAACCCATGCGTGCGCTCTCCGGTGGTACGGGTGCCTCCGGCAAGCTCGCCATGGGTGAGGGGGTGGCGCCGCGACGGCGGCGGTCACCGGGAAAGGGAAAACGGTAGCGGAGCAAAGAGAGAAGCAATAAAATGGGGGTGTTTCTACTGGGGTTTAGCCCAAGTCAAATCTCGGCCGTTCATCCTTTGCGCTGAAGTTTTTTTTTTTTTTTGTTGCTCACATGGACAGGACGGCTGATCTTTTTAATAAAAAAAATAGATATGTCATATAACTTTTAAAATCTATGCTATTCACATAATTAAAACCGTACCACCGTGACAAATCTAAAATTAGATCCACGTCACATTATACGTATGAGATATGCTTTGAATCGTCTTTTCTACCGTATATTTTTATGGATTAAAATACCCCTAATCATGATCCCCATTTCTTTAGACGTTCTCCTCTTCAGTAGCAGTAGCTAAGCTAGCCACCACCATGATGAAGATGACTCGGATCACTTGGATATGGCCTCCATGGTGACAGACCATGGGAGGTCGACAACACCGGCGCTTCCATCGCCAGGGTTATAGGCAAAGTGGATAGATAATGGAATTTGTCGCAGAAAGATCACCTCGAGCACGGAATCGATAGACCCTCCTCTCCTCTCCATGTAAGTTCGGGCTAGGGAGCGAGGGTGCAGAACAAGAGTAATCACGTGAGTAAATGAGGTGAAAAGCAGTTATACATGTCCGGGTCATACTGAGCGTAATACCCTACTCCTATGGGGTTCTTTCATTGCTCAGCGGTTTAGAAGCTAAGTTACTATGGAGTTGCGAATGTGTTTAAAAGTTTCTAAGGTTGGATCTGATCCCTCTTTTCGGTGGCTTTGGATCTTCTCTTGTAGTCAATGGAGGAATACCACAGTGATCGAGTTCTTTAAAAAAAGGCCTTAGTACACAGGGGTTAGGTATGGGAAGTTTTGTCACTTACCGACATGTCGATGTAGGCCATCCAATCTTGATAGCGTGTTGATGGGCGTCCCGAGCAGCAGATATTGGGGATCATGCTTTGTAATTCACCAATAGAATCCATTCCGGTCTTTACTTCAAAGAAGTTACAACTAATTATTATAGATGTTGCAGTTCAAACTACTATGAATTACAAAATCATAACTCGATTGAAACCAACAAAACTACTTAGACCAATAGCCTGAAGGTAGAGATGGCACATATTGCTAAACTTCCAACTATAGTTAACGAAAATATGCATAACTGTTGTTTCTACGCAACGGTTTGCAAGTTGTATGTAATCATTGTCCTCCTCGAGCCAGGAAGCAAACTCTCCGAAGAAACAAAATCTCTGAAAGCAGCGATTGTGTCGCTTATTTTTTGCGCACATCATCATTGGCGACTTACATCGAACTAAAGTGGAAGATGATGTCAAAGAGTAACTAAGTTGTAATAAATCTGTCATTTCCCTAATCTTTCCACTCTCATTGAATCCAATTCATTAGGGACACCATCACCAACCGACGGTGGCCATGAGCAGTGCTAACGACCGAGAAGTTTGTTGACTGGCCTGTGGTGCATGGAGGAAAAGGTTCAGCGGCACGCCAAAGTCTCAACATCATGGAAGGCTTGCAATACTCTTGGGAACTAATGCACATCCTCGTCAACCCCACCATTACCATGTGCATCACTAACCCCTTGGCGTAAGCGGCCACCTCATCGTCGCCATGGTTTACGATAAAATCCGTCTGTACTCTCACTCAATGCTGGTGAGATGTGCCTCCTCGAGTGCTCCCATAGGCCCATGGCAGTTGGTGGCAGCAAAAGATAAAGGAGAGGATGTGTTGGTGGACATTTTTTGAGTTTCGACACTATCTCCCTTTGGTGGCGGCAAGGAAAAAATCAGTTTCTCATTCGCTTATTATGATATCCTCTTTTCTCGCTCTATCCTCATTAGGTTAGTAGTATTTTTTTTCAGCTTAAAAGAAGTGTCTTTGATACTTGTCACCCATGTCTTCGTTTCAATAGTAAAAATGTAAAAAAGGTCATGTTTCCTTCCACAACAAATTGCCAGGGCCGTCCCTAGGCCGGTGCGGGGCATGCAACCATATAAGGCCCCTAAATCCAAGGGGCCCCAAGTGGTATTAAATACCCTAAGTATATAATGTTATAGTGGGCTTTGTTTTTATTATTCTTGTTGTTCAAATGAGTTTTTTAGCTCATAGTTGGCACAATCTCTCTTCAACTCTCCGTATCTCCTAATTTGTGGGTTCTCCTGTCTCACTCGCTTGTAGTTGTCTCTAGGGTCGCTTCACATTTGCTCTTTGTGTCATGCCAATCAGTATCGCATCATGGAAAGGATGCAGTGGCAGCAACAACACTGAGCGCTCATGGTCGCCGTCATTGCTCTTAATTATTTTGTGGCCGTAGGAGATGGTTACGGCGATTGACAACGACAAGCTCCAGCCTTCCGGTATACTCCCTCCATCGTAAACAATGCTAGGTTGGTTTTTATTGGGATGGAGGGAGTAAATTCCAAGTCCAAGCCTTATTTTTCCTCTTTTCTTTTTTTTCTATATTTTGTATATACAAATCAGTTGATTTGGTGTTTCATTGTTTCAACTTACAAGCCAACTTAAGTTTAGGTCCCATTTAGCGTTCCATATAGGGCCAATGAATTTTTCTGGGATGGCCCTGCAAATTGTACATGTTCTACTACTACAATGGCGCAAAAATATTTATATTTTTTTGTCTACAATATTGTACTCAGTAAAAAAAAGACATTAATGAATTTTGTAGAGAGGTGAGGATGATATTGGGTACTGAATAGAGGTTATGATATACCGTTACACTCACTATATGGAAAGATAGCTGACGGCGGGAACCCCCCATGATAAAATAAGCACAAAAGGGTATAGTTTTTGTTGTCGAGACAATTGTGGTCTATGTAATCATTCCATCCCATATACGGACAATATACATATAACTCATAAAATAGGTTGTCCGTAGTATAATTAATTATTTATTTAGTTTTGTAGATGGTATATAAAACATATATATGGTATTAAGTTGTCTATTAGGCTTCTTTATCTCACCTCCCCTTATTAAAAAAAAAATCTACGTGACATCTACTCTAGACACTGACATCGCGCTAGTATTCGTGCCTTAAGGATAAAGTAAGAATGTGTGGTATGCCGATTTTTGTTTAAATACAAGAAAGAAGCATGTACCTTATGGCAGAAATAAAAATAGAGAATGCTGATATATTTCAAAGATATATATACCTTATGTACCTTATGTACTTCTTTAAAAGACTCCAATGATAATGGTGAATCTGCCACCACTTCATCGACTGCAATCTTACAGATAGGACCACTATCCTTCATCCATTTTCATACTGACTAGTTAATTAACACATGAGAGAGTTGCAGATGAGAGCATATAGTAGTCGGAAATTCGGAATGGCATGGGTAGATTAGATGGTGACATTGGCATTATCGTATGCTGTGTGCTCCAAACCCATAACAGAAGTACGTGTATTCTGCTAGTAGAAAATGATGTTGACAAGAGCCCATAGAAGAGATGAAAAGCCCAAGGTACATACTATCAGTACGGACAAAACTCACTTGATGTTCCTCTTTGTATTTTTTCTATTTCTTCTAGCTTTTATATCATCTAACTATTTTTTGTTAGAGAAGAAAATGTATTTTTCCATCACTTGGCGGTTGCATTCTCATTCTATCATTTCGATACGACTTATCCCACATCTAGTCAAAGCTGTCCTAAAGTTTCATCTCACATTCATCCATAATTAAATAGAAATGTTATTTTCTTCAGAGAACAACATTCAAAACAACCCTCCTCCGAAAATACTACAATGCCAGAGAAACGCCCAGGGGCTCCACAAGGTGTGAGCTGGACGATGTGGGTTTGAAGTTTCGCTCCTTCTAATTATTTGATATTAGATCATTGCCTAATATTCGCATCTTTATTGACATGGTATTTGGGCAGTAAAACCTTCATCCTAAATCAAACAAGAACAGAGGGCACACTTGGCAACTCTATGGGGGAAAATGATATTTACACATGTACAATAACAATGAACGAAAGCAACTTACAGGCTACAGCATGGAAATTCATCAGCACCAGCTGTCCGGTGAAGCATGATTACAGTATAGGAAAAACTGAAAAGATTTCCTTTAAAAACAAGAAACCAAAAACACAATTAAAGAAAGAAGGAAAGCCCATTGGATGGTTGCAAGTTGCTGTCAACTGGCAGTGACTCTGTACTTATAGTGTCCTTTCATTGCTTAATGAATGCTTGTTATAGTCAAGCCAGATTAAGCAAAGCGAGCTTAAATACCAAGATATTATTTTCAATGGAGTAACTAAGAACTTTTTAAAATTTTAATTGCAAGAGAATGCTTGTGCCGTATGAAAGTCCCAAGAATTTTACGTCACACCTGTATAAAAATTCCAGCTCTCTATACCTTCTATATATATATATGCAACCCACTAAACACCTAAACCTCAACATATAACCATAGTAATTATTAGTACACCCTAATGCCTAACATATAATCATGTTATATCCACCAGTAAACACCCAAAACTTAACATACAAATATAGTAATATATGATTTTTATGACATTCTAAAACTCAACATAAATGCATGCTAAATCATCATTTTGATGCATGATGAGAATAGTCTCATGTTTGTCTGGTTTCCATGGTTCTTCCAAATCGGATTATCCTCTAGTATTTCATAGTAGGAAGGATAGAGGACAAACGTTACAACATGTTGATCATGCAGTTAAGTTAATTTTACATTATATGCTTTCATATGTGCAGCTATAGTATTCTTACAATAGCCACAAATTTTAGAATTGTACCCATCAATTCACCGTATACACAACACGGAGTTGAAGTTTCTAGCATTGTCAGGTAAAAATTGGATGGAACATCCCGAACAACTCATACAAATTTGATCCTCCATATTCCCATTTGGAAGACCATACAAAAAAATATTCCCTCTTCGTATCCCTTTTCGCTCTAATAGATTATCCAAATTACATCCTCCATATTACACCATTCTATATTTTAGTAATATATTCCAATATTATTTTTATTAGCTATAT